CGTTGCCCCTCTTCTCACGTCACTCGATCGTCATTACGAAACTCGATCAAATGCTGCATAAAATGCTGGCAGTGATCGTTATCGGAAGTCAACGATTTACACACTCATATGTAATGCTTCACTCTTTCCACGTATCGTTTATTCTTCACGATCATGACATCGTTCGCGCTGTCTTGTTATTTCTCCGCGCGTCCATTATCACATCACATTGTTTTGCGCTCGTTTTGCGTCAATTTATCGAATTATCAATTTGACACATCAATGTTTCCTCGCTATTGATGAAACAATGATGTATTAGTGAAATATCGATGCATTACATCGACATAAAAATAATCGACATACATTTTTAATAAAGATAAAGAAATTTTGAAAATTAAGAACAATTTTTCAAAATAAATTACAAGAACTTTTAATCTCTACATTACAATTTTATAACAAAAAAAGATATTAGAAAGAAAATAATGTATTTTGTTTTTTTCCGGCTTTTTTTACGTTTTACTTTGCTTTAACTTGCTTGTATATTTATGAGCAAAAGTTGAAAAATGTAATATTATTTAATATCCAAAATAATTTTGTAAAAGAAAATTTGTATCTTAAAATCTGTGTTGTCTAAATTTTGTATGTGTTTGATCATCATCGTTGTGTTAATGTTTTATATAAATTTGAATTCATACATCGATATTACCATAGTATTTATGAAATAGATATCATGCGTTTCTAATCTATACCTTTCGAGATCTAATTATTTGATGATCTGTGAACCATGCACGAGATTGTATAACTGTTGTGAGCATGATTTCTCTTGACTATTAGGATATATAGCATATAATCTCGCTCGATCCTCATGTTTACTTGCGAATCAATGGTACACGGAAAAAAATGTGCAATTTCGTTTCTCATGTAAATGATTATATTTATTACCAAATGCGAAGATGCACGTAATACATTATGATTTTTAAATATTAAATATTTTTATATGTATGAAAATTCAAATAAAAAAATAGATATTTAAACTTTTATTCCTTTTTCATTAAACTTTTTTATTACATACGTTGTTGTTTTTTTTTATATTGTTCATATTTTTAATTGCCTTAGTAATAATCATCTATATAAACATTACAGCGAAGAATATAATATATATATTCACTTGACAAAATTTATTTCGTTTCTTACGTTTGTAGTGGCCAATTGATATGCCGGAAATCAGGAAGGTCGAACTTTTGCTGAAGTTTTACTTCCGTCCTAAGTACCAATAAAAGAATTACGAATTGGTACATAAAGAAATGAACTAAAACTAAATATTAGACGTAAGACGTTCTAGTGGCTTCATAGGTACGTAGATCTTTTAGCGCACATGACGTCGCCTCTTTATAATTGCAGCTTATTGTTAATCAAATAAACGAACGATCTTTCCGTAACTTAATTTTGTGTATATTTTGCGATTTTCCGATAACACGCGAATACAAATGATTATACTCACCATACACGATCACACACTTTTGTATGTAACATACATTTAACGTAACGTCATATCAATCAAATATCATATCATTTCTTTTGTAATGATACTTGAACTTGGAAAAAAATATCTGAAATAAATATGAACAAACACGTTAGCCGAATCAGCGCGCTATTTCTATTATGATTAAAATATTTTGTAAATAACTTTATAATATACACATATATACATATATATCTTTTTTATTTCTTTAATTCGTCTTGTATGAAGAAATTTTAGCATGCTATGGAAACTGAAGAAGATGTATGGTTAAAATGTCCGCTAGAAATTTAAACAGACGTTTGCCTAGATTGCACATTTTTTCTCAAACTTTTTCGTCTCGAAAGCAAAACAACAAGTCTGTGCACTTTGTGTACATCCATGCATCCACTTGTGAGTTAAAACTCATTTTAAACGATATATGCGATATAGTATTTTGAGATAAGATCTATACTACATAAAATTACACTATATATAGATTTTTATCTCGAATTCTATCATGAATTATAAGTCGTTTAAAACGGGCTTTAAAAGATATTTTTTATTAATGATATGTAGATCAAGCGAAACATTTGCGATTTTTATGACAATCCAAGTATCGTGCCAATAGCTGCAATAGATCAACTCTATGTAACTTTTTTTAGATAATTTTATCTGATAATTCGATAAATTGGATCTTATATATTGTGACAAACACGCTACTTCTTAACATTCGTAATCAATGCAATTACATAATACAATTTCTTAAATTAACGGATAGATTAAATATTGCACAGGATAAGACTATATTCTTAACCACATATTCACATATTCGTATTCTTTCGGTGCTTGTATTACTATTAAGAATAAAATCGCGTTTTCTCAAAACACTGCCTGTATATAGACATTGCTCACAATGTATTGTAACAATCACGTACATAAATATAGCATTGTCACAACCAGCAGCCGTTTCTTTATTCGCATTGCCTTTGCATTATTCAACACGAATTAAATGATTGATAGATCGAGCGAGATCATTGCGTGGCACACAAAAAAAAGAATGAGTTTGTCAATTATTGCAAACTAATGCTTTAAAACATTGATTGAGATTTATTACAATAATCTCATTAAAAATTATTTTATTCAATTTAGACTGATATTCGTGCGATCACGAAAGTAAAAAGGAATATATAAATTTAAAAAAAACTATTATTTCGACATAAAACATTTTGTAAAATAATAAATTATCTTTATATATAACAATCACAAAGTAATATAATGTAGTATTATGTATGGAACAAATCAATTTTTTGTAATCTATTGAATAAATAAATAAAATAATACGAAATATTAAATAATAAATAGAATTATGGATATTTGGAAAATTAATCGTGATTAATAAAAACAAACTATATTCTTAATTGTACTATTTAGAATTTATAATGATATTGTGCTTTCTAATTTTTATTTGATTTTTGAGTTATTATTATTATTTTAATTTTAATTAAACATAGCGTTTTAGTTAAGGCAGTAGAAATATTAGTCTTCGGAAAAAGCTTTTTCAGTGGAAAGATTATTTGATGCTAAATTCGAAAAAATGCAAAATATTTTTGAATCAAAAAGCAATAATTAGAAGAGTTTAAATAATTTATTTTATAATTATGGAATATATTATTTAATACTTTTGTATCTGTGAATAAAATATGTGAATAAAGCTAAATATATATTTATTATTATAAATTTTATTTTTTTCAAATTTTTGTTCTTCCAGATTGCTAATTTTTTTATTATATTTTATACCAATATATCTTTCTCCTTGACGGAAAAGAAAAGAAAGACTTTTCCAATCAATTAATCAACTGCAAATTTAACATGTTGCTTAAAAACAATTAACGGATTTTTCTGCTCGAGAGAATCTGATTTTTAAATTGATTTGAATTTCCAGAAATTAAACAAGTGCTGAAATAAAGAAAGATGTTGCGCGCGCACGCGCACACACACACACACACACACGCGCGCGCGCGCGCACACACACACAAATATATATATATATATGCAACGTCTTTCTAAAAGATTTATATTTTGTAGATGCTATGAGTATTTAAACAAGTAAGTACTCTAATTGATTTCGACAGTATTTTAATCATTAAATAGATTAATAGCTGTCAAAGTTTGCTAGAACCCTTTGAATATATTCTACCATCACCAAAATATTTTGTTAAAGTTTAATCGTGCTCACAACACGCAACACACAAGACAGTAACTCGAGTGCGGCTCGTTTCGAAAAATACATGTATGAAGTTACTTGCGTAAGTAACAAAATGCAGTTGTGACACTTGTCCACACAAAATTCCATATTCCACTAATAACACATATCATTATTAATTTTTATTTTTCTAATCCTTGACACCCCCATTATTTGTATACATCAAATACGTACAGATTGGTTGATTCTTATTGCATCGATTACAAATAATAATGACAAAATTGTGGACGATAAAAATGATTTTTTTTAATTTACAGATTTTTTAAATATTATAATATAAAAATAAAACTTCAAGATTATGAATAACGATAATTTCACCAATACTTTTCACCTTTTGCTCGACAGATTGGGTTAATTTGTTATAATTCATTATTGTGAAAAAATATAGTTGTAACTGTTATCTGATTGCAACATTGTCAACATATTACATATATTTTGTTTATAGACAAAAATAGTCAAAAAAACACAAATAAAAATAGAAACGTAATAAAAATTAAAAAGAATAATTATTACAAAAACTCGTATCCAGATTAAAATATCTTGATGAGCACGGTGATTCCGTAGAAGAATAATTAAACATATAAACACTATATATTTATAATAAATATAAATTTTTTTTTTTATTTATTTGTATCTTTACTTTCCGAATTCTCGTATCTTTGTGTTTCTCGTAATTCTCGTATCTCGTATTTCTCGTTAATTAATGTTCAAGACAGTATGATTTTATGAAACACACGAAAAAACTAATAGTAGCCGAGATATATGATTCAAACGTCACTCTGTATACACGTACACACAGAGAAATCTACATCAATCTTTCGTTTTGTGATCGTCGACACGCTACGGCAAATGTTAATTTTATTCTTGTAACACGAGGATATATCCTGTCTCTCTCTGGCTCCACGTGATCATACGTTGCCTCGTTTCTAATTTACATTAATTTGATGCTCGTTCGTGAAGCGGTCGAATCGTTCTACCAGTAGTCGTCGAAGAGAA